GATGCTGAGGACATGGAGTGGGGCTGCATGGGGACAGCACAGGGGGCTGGCAGTGGCAGGAAAGGTGTAAAAGGTTGGGTTTGGGGTGTTTTAGGAGAGCAGCAAGAGATGAGTGGCTCTCAGTCACATGAAGAGCTGGAGTGACTGCCAGCCATGCCTGCTGAACTCAGAATGACAAAGGGGGGAAAAATGCTTCCTCCTGGGGGTTTCCACAAGAAACCACAAGAGACAGCCAGAATCTGTTCTCTGAGCAGCAGTGGCACTCCTTGCAGCCTGAGGTTTCAAGAGGATCCTTCCAAGGAACTCGTCAGGCTCCTCCCATGGGCAGCATCCCTCAGGCACTGCAGAGCCTCTGCACCTCCCAGGCAGGAGCAGACCCTGATCCTCTCCCTCTGCCCACCACAGAAGCCACTCCTGTGCCTGATTTCCACCTTCCATGGCAGCTGACATTCCCAGCAAGCACCAATCCCATCCCTTTGTTTCTCAGGGACAGCATCCATCTGCTGCCAGCAGCTCACATCTGGAATTGTGAGTGTTGGGAAAGAGCCTCAGTCCTGTTGGAAGGAAATTATTCCTCCAGCCAAGGGGTTTATGCAGAACTGAGTTTAGCATTTGGAGTTAGAAACTTACTACAAATCCTACAGTTACACCAGGTTTTAAACCTCAGAATTACAATTTTATCTTCCTTCCTTCCTAAAAAGCTGCCCTGACCTAAATTGCCACCTGGCAGAAAATATTCCCAGAGAAAAGGAGGAGAGGCAGAGGACCTGCAGAGCAAAACCCCTCCTGAGCACAGGAGAGAGCACAGGCTGGAGCTGATGCCCAGCTCCAGAATCCTCACCCTGATTTCAGCCCTGGAGTGGTGACCCCAGAGCAGGAAAAGGCACGGCCTGAGCATTTCCCATGGGATGAGAGCCACCCCTGCATCTGCCTCAGCTGCTGGCCTGGCTCCAGGAGGAAGCAGCTGAGCTCAGCTGAGGGGTGGGCAGGGTCACCAGCCCTTGGGGAGAGGTGACAGCTCCTGTGGGACACTGGTGTGGCACAAGGAATGGAAACAGCCAAGCAGGCAGAAAGGGGAGGTCCTGCCACCCTTGGAAGAGAAAGGCAGGGTGGTGGTGCTTGGAAAGGTGCAGGAGCCACGAGATGGGAACCTGGAATTGTGCAGGACAGGGCCAGAACCTGGAATTGTGCAGGACAGGGCCAGAACCTGGAATTGCGCAGGACAGGGCCAGAACCTGGAATTGCGCAGGACAGGGCCAGGCTTGGGCACCAAGGACAGGAAAGGGAAGGGCACAGTACCCAGGAAAAGCCTGAAATGCTCCTGGCTGGAACCTGTGGCATCTCTGTGACCAGCAGGGTGGCTTCTGACACTGCTCATCCCAGCATGGGGAATGCAGCTGCTCTGATGGCTCCAAGGCAAAGGGATTTCCCCATGGAAAGGGGGCTCAGGGCAGGCACCAGCAGGAATTTCCCCATGGAAAGGGGGCTCAGGGCAGGCTCAGGGTGGGCACTGCAGGAATTTCCCCATGGAAAGGGGGCTCAGGGCAGGCACCAGCAGGAATTTCCCCATGGAAAGGGGGCTCAGGCCCTGGAACTGCCCAGGGGGGTTTGGATCCCCATCCCTGGAGGTGGCACCTGGAGGATCTGGTGCTCAATGAGCAGTTTCAGAACAAGGTTTCTTGAGTATCTACCTTGAACCAACAGACCATAAGAAGTGCAAAGTTCTACATGGGAATTAAATCTTTTGGGCAGCCTATTCTCCCTTCTAATTGCTAAAGATTTGTATCTTTGAATTTGTATCTTTGAGTACCTCTGTAGATGATAATGAGCACCCAGAGCTCTGGGCTGGGGACAAGGTGGGGACGGGGCAGAGGTTGGACTCTGACCTTGGGGCTCTTTTCCAGCCTCCAGGATTGTGTGGATTCAGGGTCCAGCAGCCTGCAGGCCTCACTGCAGTTCATTCAGGGTTTGCAGTGTCCTTCCTGCCTGGGAGGGGAGCACACTTTGCCCCCTGGCCCTGCTCTCAGCACTCACCGCGTTTTCCTTGGCCCTGCTCCTGAAATAACTGTTTAGCCACCGGGGAAGGTGACAAATGATTCAGCTGTGGCCCCACTGGGAATACCAGGAGGAAGGAGCTCCCCAGCCACTGCAGCATCTCCTCAGCCCCACCAAGCTCCTCTCTCCCACTTGGATCCAGAAGTTTCCAGGTCCCAGCCCCTGGTGCACCAACCCTTTCCCTGCTCTTTTTAAAAAACAAACCCTGCTCAGCCCCTGACAGGAGCATGGAAAGTGCAGCCAGAGCCACTGGTAGCACTGATATTAAATGAACAAACATCCTGACCCCAACATGTGCTGGGATTGCTCAAGGCTGTGAGCATCAATCAGCCTGCATGGGTTTTCCCTGGATAACAAGACAGACAGATTCTTGACACACAGCTCACCTGCGGCTCAAATTTCCAATTCTTCCTCCAGCACATCAAAAAGATCATCAGAACTGGACCTAGGAAAAATATTTTCCCCTCTTGCTGTTTTCAGAAGCAGCTGAACCGTTTCAGTCCCACACTCGTTTTCTGGGGGGCTGTGTGGAATTTTCCCTTTTTTTTTTTTTTTAAATAACCAGAGGCATGAATAATTTCCAGCATGGAAAACTTCTGCCTGAAGAGCTAAAATTGGCCCAGAATCATGCAAGAGTCACACAAGAAATGGCAATGGCACCAGGCACTGCTACCAAGCCTACCTAGAGCATTTTTTTCCACTGTGCTCAGAGGATCTGTTTCACTCCTCACCTCTCAATCCAATTTCCACTGTCCTGCAGCACGAGTTTAAAAGAAGGACACCAGGAAGCATGTGTGATAAGGGGGAAGGAAGGGGAAAACCACAGCTTCTTTCATTCTTTCAACAGAGCCAAAAAGGAGTGGCTGTTTTAATATTTTTCTCATTTTTTTAAAGGAAAAAACTGCAGGGAACAGCAAAGGGAGGAGATGTTTGCTTTAAACTTTCCCACCTCCACCATGATACACATCTCTATGTATTTATAAAGCAGCTCTGCTTCTAAAGGTGTTTTGCAGAGTGCCTGGCTCCAGTTATGACATTTTCTACCTCAGGATTGTGCACAGCTCCAGCCAGAATGGAGGGACAGAGGGAGCACAGCCAGGATTGCCCACAGCCCTTGCCCAGCCCAGGGAACCAGCACAGACACCCCAAAAGGGTCTGGGGGCACAGACACCCCAAAAGAGGCCTGGAGGATCAGGTACCCCAAAAGGGTCTGGGGGCACAGACACCCCAAGAGGGGTTTGGGGGCACAGACACCCCAAATTCTGTGTCCCAGCCAGAGGAATGAGCCTGGAGCACCATGAAGAGGAGATGCTGCAGAGAAGGAAGCACGAGCTCCATTTCCTTCCAGCCCTGGCTGCTGCCCAACAGCTGTTCCTTATTTATTTACTTTAATATTTCCTTGGTTACACAAACAGCTGCCCACAGCTTAACCCCTGCACTGCCAGGGCCCCCCTCCCTGGGCAGGGGACAGGGCTGAGAGCAGCCTCTGCCCCATCCCAGGCTCTGCAGCTGAACCTGGCAGAGCCATCTGCAAGCCCAGGGCTGGCTCTGCTGGGCAGGCTGCAATTTCAGCCGTGTCTGGATGCAGAGGAATGTCACAGACATGTTTTATGAAATATCCTTTCCTTAGGATTGCTCCTCCTGAGAAGCTGAGAGGCCTCAGGAACAAAATGTGAACAATGGTTATCTGCTGCTGTGGAATGCAACAGGTGGATCTGGGATTGAGCTCATGTGGTTGTTTCTAATTAATGGCCAATCACAGTCCAGCTGGCTCGGACTCTCTGTCTGAGCCACAAACCTTTGTTATTCATTCCATTCTATTCTATTCTCAGCCAGGCTTCTGATGAAACCTTTTCTTCTATTCTTTTAGTATAGTTTTAATATAACATATCATAAAATAATAAATCAAGCCTTTGGAAACATGGAGTCAGCTCCTGGTCTCTCCCCTCATCCTCAGACCCAGTGAGCACGGTCACAGGGGAATCCAGCCCAGGGGGATGCCCAGCCCCACCTGAGAGGGCTCAGGGGGTGCCCAGCTCCTCCCTGGTGCCACAGGCACCCCAGAGCCCTTCTGCCAGCCCAGGGATCCATCCCTTTGTGCATTTCCCTTTCTGCTCTGCACAGAGCCTGCTCCAGCAGCTCAGGTTGGGTTTGGGCTCATAAAGCCCAGCCAGAGCCCTTGGCTCATCTCCACCAAGGAGGAGGTGCAGAACACCCCCTGCCTGCTCACCAGAGCCCTGCTTTGGGTTTCCTGCAGCCCAGCCTGCCCCAATGGCCTTTCCAGCCTCCTCTCCCCCACTTCCATTTCCCTCCTGGCTCCCCCCTGCACCAGGAGGGAATTAAATCAGAGTAATGGCACGGCCTGGCTCGGAAGGGACCGTACAGATCATTGAGTTCCAACACCCTGCCATGGGCAGGGACATTTTCTACCACAGCAGCTTGTCCAGAGCTCCATCCAACCCCTCCTTGGGCACTGCCAGGGATCCAGGGGCAGCCACAGCTTCTCTGGGTACCCTGTGCCACCCTCACAGGGAGGATTTTTCCTGATTTCTGCTCTTAACCCACTCTCTCAGTTTGAGCCATTCCTGTCACTTCGTGGTTTTGTAAAAGGTCCCTCTCCATCCTTCCTCTAGGCTCCCTTCAGTGCCAAAGCAGCAGCTGCCAGGGGAGTGAGTGGGCACTTCCCCTGCTCCAGGGCATCAAATCCTCCCCAGGGGCAGCTCTCAGCCCTGCTCTGCTGTGACAGCAGCTGGGGAAGCCACAGGAGCGGAATTTGGACCTAACTCTGACAAAACCCTCCCCAAAAGCAAACAAACCCCCCCTCAATAACAACCCCAGTGATTGCACAGGTAAAGCAGAAACCAGCAGCTGCAGTGAGCTCAGCCCGTCAGCCCACGAGGGCTGGAGCACCCCCAGCACCCCCAGCACCCCCCAGGATTCCCCACCTGCAGGTCGAAGAACTTGCTGTACCGTCTGTAAATGACCTCGGTGGCTCCATTGGACCAGGTGACCTTGATGATGTACACCTGGAGGGAAGAACAGAGGCACAAATCAGCGTGAGGGACCCCAAAAAGGCCCCGCCACAACCCAAAAAGCTGCCAGTGCAGCCCCCCAGAGCTGGGTGACAGGCAGGGGAATGCTTCAGATCAATTCAGCCACACCACAACACAGGTGAGGGTAAATTGTTGAGCCCCAGGGCTGCAGCTTAAGCAGATGTTTGTTTCTGGTGGTGGACTGAGCTCTGTGGCCCTGGAGGGGGGCACACATTGACTGTGGGGTGACATTTCTGTGTAAAAACACAGCACAAATCCCTCCAGCCACAGGAGTTCTGTTAACTGAACCCTGGGCACCCCATTTACAGCGGCAGCACCAAAGCTGAAGCTGAGATCCAAGGGCAGCACCTGCACCAGCCTGGCTGCTGCAAACGGGACTGCAGCAGCTCAAACCCCCAGGCTCTGCAACTCCGCCTGCTTGGGCTTGGGTTTCTGACACCTGCAGGGGGGGAAATCAGCGTCCTGATCCCTGAAATGCCACAGGATCAGCCCCAGTCACGGCAGGTGATTCACAGACCCCGAGACCGGGCTCTAACTGGGGATGAATGCAAAGCAAAACACCAAACCCGGCCCATTTAATCAGAAAACAAACACCAAACCCAGCCCATTTCAGCACAAAACACCAAACCCGGCCCATTTCAGCACAAAACAAACACCAAACCCGGCCCATTTCAGCACAAAACACCAAACCCAGCCCATTTCAGCACAAAACAAACACCAAACCCAGCCCATTTCAGCACAAAACACCAAACCCGGCCCATTTCAGCACAAAACAAACACCAAACCCGGCCCATTTCAGCACAAAACACCAAACCCAGCCCATTTCAGCAGAAAACAAACACCAAACCCAGCCCATTTCAGCACAAAACACCAAACCCGGCCCATTTCAGCACAAAACACCAAACCCGGCCCATTTCAGCACAAAACAAACACCAAACCCAGCCCATTTCAGCACAAAACACCAAACCCGGCCCGTTTCAGCACAAAACAAAACAAACACCAAACCCAGCCCATTTCAGCACAAAACACCAAACCCGGCCCATTTCAGCACAAAACAAAACAAAACACCAAACCCGGCCCGTTTCAGCACAAAACACCAAACCCGGCCCATTTCAGCACAAAACAAACACCAAACCCAGCCCATTTCAGCACAAAACACCAAACCCTGCCCATTTCAGCACAAAACACCAAACCCGGCCCATTTCATCAGAAAACAAACACCAAACCCGGCCCATTTCAGCACAAAACACCCAACCCAGCCCATTTCAGCACAAAACACCAAACCCGGCCCATTTCAGCACCAATTCTTCTGTGAAGGACAAGAAGCACATCTCAGAATGAGGCAATTGCTGATCTCATGTCCCCTCTGTGTTTCACAGAAAGCAGAGATAACCCTTGGTGAGGTGCCAGTGCAACACCCAAGTGACACAAATCTCAAATTGATAGCAGATTGACTGAGCAGAACCCAGGGTATTGTTTTCCTCCTAACTCAAGTCCTTATTTCCACCAGAAATTCAAGCATCAGTTCCTTGAAGAAGGACCAAAACGTTCAGAAGCCCAGGTGAAGGGACCTGCTGGAACTTCTGCTAGCAAAATCAAGCATCAAGGCTCTTAAAAGCTGATGTTTTGGTATTTAAAAGAGAATCCCTCAGGGGTTTCCCCACTGAGATTCCCATTTTTCCAGATTCTGGAATGTGACCAACATCCTCAACCAGCACCCAAAGCTCAAACACCAGGACAGCACAACACTGGGTTATTTGAGTTTATCAAAGCCACTCAAATCCTGCACTGAAAATCCACCTCAAATCTCTCTCTGCTGCTCAGAGGGCTGGCACAGCCTGAGCCACCGAGGTGGGGACACTCCTGAGGGTGACAAACTCCTCCCAGTGCAATCACTCCCACATTAAGACAGAAAACGAGGCAGCAAGAGGGATCAAGTTCTTACTGCTAAAATAAAGAACTTCCCTACTTGCAAACCAGGAATTCAAGGTCCACTTTTGTTGGATTTGGGCTGGGTTAGAAGAGACCTTAAAAGATCATCCAGTGTCACCCCCTGCCATGGCAGGGACACCTTCCTCTGTCCCAGGGTGATCAAACACCTGGCCTTGGGCATTTCCAGGGTGATCAAACACCTGGCCCTGGGCACTGCCAGGGATCCAGGGGCAGCCACAGCTGCTCTGGGCACCTGTGCCAGGGGCTCCCTGTGATGGTGTTCACAGGGGTCTGAGGATGAGGGAAGGGATGAGGATCTCACTCCATGTTTCAGAAGGCTTGATTTATTATTTTATGATATATATTACATTAAAACTATACTAAAAGACTAGAAGAGAGGATTTCATCAGAAGGCTGGCTAAGAATAGAATAGCAAAGAATGATAACAAAGGTTTGTGGCTCAGACTCTGTCTGAGCCAGCTGGGCTGTGATTGGACATTAATTAGAAACATCCAACATGGGCCAATCCCAGATGCACCTGTTGCATTCCACAGCAGCAGATAATCAATGTTTACATTTGGTTCCTGAGGCCTCTCAGCTTCTCAGGAGAAAAAAATCCTAAGGAAAGGATATTTCATAAAAGATGTCTGCAATAGCTCCCCACCCAATATCCCACCTAAACCCAGTCCCTCAGTCTGTAGCTATTCCCTGCTCTGCTCTCACTCCCCAGCTCTTATTCTGAGATGAAGGACCCTCATTTCCTCCCTATGAACACAAAGAGCACAGATGGTTCTCCAAGACAACATCTGCTCCAGCTGTGGAGGCCACGCTGTGCTCCAAGGGAGGCAGCACTCCCCCGGCAAACCAGGGGTTAACCTGGTGCTAGCACAGGTTCAAACCCCTTCACCCCCTGCCCAGGACCTGCTGCAGGGCCAGCATGAGCTCATGTGGGCTGGGAGCTGAGCTGCTATCCCAGTTTTGTCAGCAGTCCCCAGCGCTGCTCGGGTTATATCACTGCTGGCTGCCTGCCTGCACGGAGCCTTCCACTGGGGCAGCAGCAGGAGCCAGCTCCTCCTCATTGTTTATTCCTACCCTGCCTTTATTTGGAGTCAACAGCTTGTTAGACTGGGATTTTAATCAGGATGTGGACAGACTGAGCCAAAGTCATTCAGAGCTCTTGAGGGTAATGAAGGCACGAGGGCTGAGGGCACCCCAGGCTCCCCTGTGGCCTCTGCAGCAATCTCTGCTCTCTGATGAGCTCACTGCTGCTGTGCTGGAATGCAGAACTCCCAGGGCTCGGGAGAAGAGTCCCTTGCACATCCCTGTCCAGCAGCAGAAAGGTCTCCAGGGGTTCCTCCTCAACCTACTTATGGAAAGCATTGAAGATGGAGGAGCCCACAGGAGCTGGGGCTCCTCTGTATCTATAAAACCTGGGGAAAGCCAACTTCCTCTCTGCTGGTGGATATTCCTCGTCCTTCCAACAGCCTCATCCCAGATCTTGGTGTCTCCCAATATCTAATCCAGTCCCTGCTGTCTCAGAAATAAAAAATCCACCAGAAAACACAACCCTGGTGCTCCTCTCACCCAACAACAAGGTCTGAACACTGCACTCACCCAGTGAGCATTTCCATGAGGCACCGAGCTCCCACAGACCCCAAAATCCCTTCCTCAGGTGCTTTTGGAAGGCACTTCCAACAACCAAGACAGCTTTAAAACCACTGCCCTTGCTCTGAAGTTTCCCTGCTGGCCTGGCACTGCCCCGTGTCCTGCCAGGAGCAGCCACCACAAAGCAGGAACCCAAACAACCCAGATTTTGTCCCAGCAGGAGCCACCCCATCAGCTGAGGTGAGAAGAGGCTTTTCCCCAGCCCAGGACACGTGGAAAGCAGTTATTCCATGGGTTTTTATCACTGAGGAACCACCTGCAGGGCTTTTCCATGGAGGAAAAAGGAGAAGAGAGGGGATCCCCCAGGGCTGTGCCCCCACAGGGATGGGGCTGGCACTTGGATCCTCTCCAGGGATTCCTGAGGCTGGATCCAGGGGGGCTTGGGATGGGCCCCTGGCCAAAACCAGCAGCTGAGCTGTCCAAATCCCAAATCCCAAACCTCCAAACACCTGCAGCCCTTCCTGGGCCAGCTGGGGGCTGTGACCAGGGAAGGGAAGGAGCTGAGTCAGTGGAACCCAGGAATGGGGGCTGCCCTTCCTCCCTCTGGAAAGGACACCCTGGAGCCTCAGTGCTGGCAGCTGCAGGAGGCACAGGGACAATTTCTGAGGTGCAGGTAGATGTGGTTTGATGCCAGCTCAGAGGAGCATCTCTCATGAGCACCAAACCCTCTCCATGCTCCCATCCCTAGGAGGGCAGAGATGGAACAGATCCCTCACAGAAAATGGAAACTTGCAGATGCAAAAGGCTGAGTTCAACAGAACTGGGCTCCCAAACTCCTTGGGATCCCTACAGCACATGGGAATGGTGACAAACCAAGTATTTAAAAGTGACCCACTGAGCAGGGTGACATCAGGACCACCAACCACTGCCCAAGGCCCTCCTTGGTCACACAAAATGCCCTAAATGGAAACATAACATGGAAAAAAGGCCCAGGGGATCCTGCAGCCTTCCCCTTGGGCCCCTCCATCATCACCCAGCATCTGTCACTGCTGTCCCCTGCCCAGCACCTCTCTCAGAGGGAGAACAGCCCGTGGAAAATGGGGCTGAAAACCTTTGGGAGGGAAGGGAAGTGTCAGGAAATGACAGCTTGCTGCAAGACATGCAGATGGCAGCTGGCCAAGCACAGCAGAGCTGTCAGAGCAGCCCAGGGAACACTCTGAGAGCCAGGGGGATCCAGGACAGCCCTGGATGCAGGGAGGGAGCTCCTGGGAGGCTGCAGGAGCCAGCTCAGCCCCACCAGAGCCACGGGAGTCACGGGGACAGAGGGGGTGAGGAGCCAGCGAGACTCTGGAAAGGGCAGCCAGAGATTTCATTTTCCTTTTCTTTCCCTCTTGAAGGAATGAAGCAGCCAGCCCTGGGAGCAGCCAGCCCAGCAG